TTTAATGACACTTAAGATCTTCATGCAACAGTTAATAATATTCGGTTAATATTAACAATTAATAATCATTATTAATGTTGAATGTTAATTGTTAATGTTCGTCAATATTAGCTGTTAATGTTCATCAATATTTACTGCAAATGTTTATCATTATTAACTGTTAATATTCATTGCTAATTGTTGATGTTTATCATTATTAACTGTTAATGTTCACTGTTAACTACTACTACTACTACTACTACTACACAACACATCACTGTACCTAGAGCTGAGTTGCCCCTATACAATTTGAGAATGATGTGGGTGATAAGTAGTCTAATTAGGCTCTGTGACTCTCTACGGTCATAGGAGATCGGGATCTACAGCTTAAAAGGGGATTTCGAACCACTACAAACATCCATGGCACCGCCGGGATTCGAACACGATACCTGTGGTACCGAGTTCGCTATCCACTCAACTATCAGGCCCTGTTCACTGTTAATTGTTAATGTTCATCATTATTAACTGTAATGTAACAGTTAATAATGATTAACAGTTAATTATTAATCAACAGTTAATAATGCTGGTCGATTAGCTAGCGCTCTGGCCTTTGGTACCACAGGCTTCAGATACGAATCTGGTGGTGGCATGGATGTTTGTGAGTGGTTCGGAATCCACTGTAATTTGTGGTGCCAGTCTAATTAGCCTATAGTGTACACAAAATGACCGTAGAGCGACAAACGAATACCAAAATCTTCCCTTTAAGCCGAGAAGGAGGGTAGTGCTGTCCGATAGGACTTTAGGGGGCACTATTCCCGCATTTGCGTATCATATGGAAGAAACTCCAGAAAACTCCACCAGATAATCCGACTAGCAAGATGCTGAACAACCCAAATGCCATCAGTCTCCTCTTTTTTTGAAACAGTGTCTACAACAAAATCGTCAGCAGAGGGAACTTCAGCTCCTATACCCACCAGTGACGCACGTTGCCACCGAGCCACATATCAGGCACCTATACTAGTTTTCAAACAATTTATGCATATCTATTCCACATGTTTGGTTTAAATATTGACTCTGATTTTTAATATTAAAATAAAATATGTGTGGAAGTTCTACACCCTCTCCCTCCCTTTAAAAAAAAAAAAAATACCAATTCTGAAATTCGAATGTTTAAACCACCATTACATAAAGTATGTATATAAAAATTTCTAGAACATTTGCTATATTGTTTTTCCATTAACAGTTAAGTTAAAAAACGAGACAGTCTAGCAAACACTGGCTGGAAAACGGGCAGACGATTACATACTGTAATCTTTGCCCAGAAATTTAGTGACAACACTTCAAAACTGTTACAGGAGACTTAAAAAGTAAACACAAAGCTTCCTATTTTTCAATCAGCTGTTCTGAATATTTATGCAGAATTGTTTACAAAATATTCGATAAAAAGAAAGAAAAAAATTAAACTTCCTTCAAAGTCTGGTGTTGTGTCTGATAAATTGCAGCTGAGAGTTCTTCGAATTATGGGAAATGCATACGTGCTCGGTATCGCGTTTTTCAAGAGGAAATAGCAGTGCTTTGTGGTGCGATATTCAGCCACGCTCTTATCTATTTTTTTATTTTTATTTTTTTTTATTTATTTATTTTTTTTTTATTTCGTTCGATTTTTTTTTTAATTAGGTGCAAGTTCCTTAATTATTCTTTAGTTGGATTATTTATTTATTTTTGATGACAAGAAAAAAAATGTCCGGAAAGATTAATTTACGACTTAAAAGTGACATTTGTAAGGAAGAGAAGGAAAGTTGTCATTTGATAAGGAAAATAAAGTGTTTAATTTATTTATTTAAATTTTTAGGAAGATGTTTAATTCATTACAGTTCCTAGTTTTTTAAATTTGTGTTCAGACGTTTGGAATGATAATTTTACCTCTATGTCTCGAATTTTTTAAAAAAAAAAAAAAAGAGCGAGACTCAGTTCTTTGAATTAAAATTAAAAATTCGTATTAAAATGTTTATCTTTTTTTTTTTAATCACAACTGTACCTTAAATTTTTGTAAAATAAGAATATATTTATGTTTTTACATTTTCTACAGCAGTTTATATTCTATCCTTTACCTTACCAATTTTAAGATAAAAAAATATATTAAAGTAAACATTGATAATTACAATATTTCTTGTATATTTAAATATTTTAAAATTTATAAAATTTCAGTTTAAAATTATAAGAGAAATTTGCAAACAGGAATTTAAATTTTAAAAAAAAAAATTAACTATTTTCTTGAAAACATCGAGGGTTAATTAATTTTTATTCATTATTAATTTATTATTGAATTTTGTTATTTATTCATTATTTTATTATTTAATTTTATTTTATTCATATTATTTTATTATATATTTTATTAATTATCATTAATTTTATGTTTTATTAATTTTTAATTATTTATTTTATTAATTTTAATTACTATTTACTCATTTTGATATTATTATAAATTTATTATAGTCATTAATTTATTATTTTAATTTTATTCATCTCATTATTTTTTTTTATTTTTCATTTTATTCATTTTTTGTTACATTTATGATTATATATTTTTCTATAGAAAGAGTAAATAACTATACCTGTTTTTACAAATCATGTCCAAATATTCTTTAAAAAAAATTTCTTTGTTTACTTCTATATAAAAAATAAATATTTCTTTTGATTTAATAAGTTAATCTTTTTTTCAATTTCAATTTCGAAAATTTTCGTTGAAAAACAAATAATATCTAATATTAATATATCATAACAGTGGTAAAAGTATACTCTATCTGTTTATAAAAAGTAAAATTTTCTTAGTAACTCTTTCATACATTATTATTCCAAGTGTATATGTTTATATTGATAATAATTTACAAACTGTTTTTAAATATCAAATGTCTTTTTGACTTTCATTTTTTGAAATTTCGTAAAACATTTTGGAATTTCGATTTTGAAAGAAGCTTTAGAAATCCACTACACTAAGCAAAACAATGTATACTTGTTTTTATGATTGCAAATATTTTGATTGTGTTATTATCTATTAAACACTGTTATGTCTCTTGCGTTGCATTTTATATAAAACAATAGCTCAATATATATAGATATAAAGTGAATAATAAGATGAGGAAATATTACTTTTGAAGCTAAAAGTAATATGAATTGTATTTGAGTAATGCTTTCCTATATTTAAAATTATAAAAAATTACTTTTTTTTTAAATCAATTATTCAACAATCAATTTTAAAACAAACAAAAAATAATATTTATAACATTAAATTATGTGAAATAAAAAAGATTTTAAAACATAGAATACGTTTTTTTAGACGAAGAATTCATTTTCTTTTTTTTTGAAGCTATAGTCACATAATGAGAATTGCAAATTGTGCAATGTTTACATAGATATAAAAAAAGGCAAACGATTATTTTTGTTGCCATTAATTAAAATTTATTTATGAATTAGAATTTATATATGCATTTAAATAATACTTGTGGCATTAAATTTACCAAGTATTTATTAGATTTTTATTGAAAAAAAATTCTGAAATATAGAATATGTTTTATAATACAGTGAATTTACTTTTTTTTTTTTTTTTCTGAACTTTTAATTTTTATAAGTGAATTCAAAAATTAATGGCAACAATTTTATATCCGCTTATTTTTTATAATAACTACTTGAATCAAATGTCTAAGAAATGGAAAATTGAATTTAAATCAATTGTTTTGTTATTTACAACATGATAGTTATGCGCTGTTTTGATAAAAAATTTCCATTATACATTTCGAAATTCACTTTTAAATAAGTTTAAATAAATAACCATATATTTTTTTTAAAATTCCAAATTCTTTTGAAATTAACAAATTATTATTTTGTAGTTGTTGTAAAGGAAAATTACAATTGGTTTTAAATAGCACACTTTTGCAAAAAATAATAATTATACTTACTTCATTACTCAACACTTTTATCAATCATAAATTTTGAATTATATTTATAAACGAAAATTCTAAATGTCATGTAGACTTTTGGAATATTAGATTCTCATTTATTTTCCATATTATTAACACAGATGTTTTAGGTAAAAACCAATCTTAAACGAACTACATATTTTAACTAACTACAAAAATTTAACTGGTTTTTGCCAAGGATTTTCACAGATAAGCTAAAAGAATTATCTTTTAACAATGACCGTTTTGTATTTCTCGGAAATATTTTAAGGTTTTAGAACTTTTTTTATTTATTTAGATAATAAGAAGTTACAGAAATAGGTCATAAACAAAATATAAAAATTATATGAGATTCTTAAATTACGAGTTTCAAATTTAACAAAGGAATTTTTTGGCGAGTTCTTCTTGAAATTCCAGTCAAAAACTATAGGAATGTCATTATTTAAGAATCTCATTTTATGTGCATTTCAAAACTCGTTTAAGAAAATTAAATTTATCTCAAATTTATGGGATTGTTAAAATATTAAAGCTGAATTTTAATTAAATTTCTTAAGTCATATACAGCATTTTAATTATTATTTAAGCAGAGAGTGAGATAAGCATTTATCTTTTTTTTTTTTTTTTTTTTTGTACTTTTTAAAAATCTACTTATAAATAAATTTAAATAATTATTAATTAATATTAATTCTTAATTTGTGAATTTAAATAATTTATCATTTTACATAATTTTTTTTTTTAAATTTAAAATCATCTGACATCAATAAATATAAATATGTTGTTGTTGTTTTCTTATCCCACTTGGCTGGGGCCAAGCCCACGAGCCCATACGTACTCATGATTGAAGAGGAAGGAAGCAGCTTCTGTTGTGATGGAGCACCCGTAGGTAGAAGTCTGACTTTGGCTCCGTGACGCTCTTACAGTCATAGGAGACCGGGACCTACGGCTTAAAGTGGATTCGAACCACTACAAACATCCATGGCACAGCTGGATTCGAACCCGAAACCTGTGGCACCGAGCGCCAGAGCGCTAGACACTTGGCCATTCAGGTCCCAAATTTGTGAATGCCAACGGCACGCGGTGTTCCCAGGTGGTCACTGACCGCGCCCAATGATGCTTGACTTCGGTGATCTAACGAGAGCCGGTATATTCAGCATGGTATGGCCGTTGGCTATAAATATAAATATCAATATATGTATGGACTTGATGACAGAGTGACTGGCGCTCGGTAGCACAGATTTCGAATCCGAATTTCGGCGGTGGCATGGATGTTTGTAGTGGTTCGGTATCCACTTTAAGCAGTCTAACGGTTCGGCGTCCACTTAAGCCCCGTCCCTGTTTAATATGACTGTTGAGCGTAGAGCTGACAACCTTATTGTGTAAAAAGAAAACATCTCTTGTCTCAAAATCTGCCAATACTGACGGATTTGGCCCACCATGGGACAGTTGCGTCAATCAATAATAATAATAATTGTATAATATGTATATATTTTCTGTTGCAAGAAAAATTGTAATAGGGTTTGAATATTGCTCTTGTAGAATATTGAATCCGAAATAAAAAAATATATGTAGATTTCAATTATAAAGATCTTATCTGTCTTTACTATAACATTATAAAAACAAACAACCTTTGACAAAACATTTTTTCTTTCATAACGCTACTCACTTTGTCAATTCTAAATTTATCCATTGAAGCCTTAGTATATGAGTTTCACCTCAAATTGATCACTTTATTACTACTTCGATTGGTCAACGTTTATCTTTGGTGCAGTGCTGGCATAATTTGTAACTCACCTTCACACAAAAGGTGGATTTCCATAGGATACTGATATCTCACGTCGTAGAACGTCCGCCAATCAGGAGCCCCAGTGAACAGGTTTGGTTTGGTTTGTCACTCTACGTTAATTTTGTGCACACTGTTACGTCGAAACCCATGTCCCCCTGCTTAGGGAGGTCAACGCCCTATGTCCAGAAAAACATCCTGTCTGTGGGGGTGTCTGGCAGGGGGTGAGCTGACGGAAGAGAGAGAAAGAATGTAAGAAAGAGTTGAACTTCTGCAACCAAAGAGAAAGGTTGTGTGAGCAGTGCATCTTCGAGCTTGATGGCTGCATAAACTAAATGAGTTGAACAACTACGACCAAAGAGAATGGTCGTGTGGCAGTGCATCTTCGAGCTTGATGGCTGCATAAGTAAAAGAGTTCAATAAGTGTTACCAACGAGAAAGGTTGTGTGGCAGTCCATCTTCGAGCTTGATGGCTGCCTAAATAAAGGAGATTAAATTTATACAGTCCATTCTTTTCTTCGTGTCTGTGTCGAAGATTATTTGAGTTTATATTTGTGTGTCCGAGCTATCGAAACACACTTAAGACTAATTAGATCGGGATTTACAGCTTAACGTGAATTTCGAACCACATACAAACATCCATGTCACTGCATCAAACAAATTGAATCTGAAGTCCGTAATACCAAGGGGTCAGAGCGCTAGCCAATTGGCCATCAGTAGGATAAATAAAGGCTAATAACTGCTAAGCATTAGATTGAATAAATTCTGCATTACTGACAACTTGTTAATCAATATTTCAAACCATTACCATGAACCACATAAAAGACCATGAGCCAGTCTTAGTTAGCTTGGCTAAGAATGGCTCCACGATGCAAAGATCCAATCACCTATTGGCTAGCTTGAAGTTTTCTAAGCTAGCCAATAGACCACCAGCCTCTCGCATACGAGAAGACTCGATGGCGATTGTGATTATGTATGTAAAACCGTCTCGCATCGATAGCCAGACTGTCTGGTGAAAGTTTTTACTGCCTGGTGGGTTTTCTTCCGTACGACACGCAAATGTGGGGGAAGTTACACCTAAAAAAATTCTCCCGCAAACTACCCCCTTCAACACCAGTCGGTCGTGGTATACATGAGATTCATCGATGTATTCCGTGGTATACATCACCTTTTTAACTAATAGGGGGATGAGGGATAGCCCTAGGGGGTGAGGTGAGGTGAAAAGAAAAAGAAATAGCCTTTCTTTCTTTTAAAAGTGCCTTTCAAGTCAGACTTTTACTCAGTATGAAAGCCGTCATAACTATTCCAAAGATGCAAACACCATGTAAATTCGCTCATGGCCAGCGGGTCGTCCGGCTCTCTCACTCCCCGCTGCTTTTTGGCCATTCGGATTCGCCGCGGGGGTCGACAGGAAAAGGATCCAATTCGCAGGCGATAATTAATGGACAGGAGCCCGAATAACGGGGGTGGTGTTCTCATGTGAAATTCATGAGAATGCACTGAATAAGGTTCATTGTGAGAGGTACAAAAAGAAAAATCACTCCTAAATGAAATCCTTCTCAAAGCGATTAGTGGATTTAATGAGAATTTCGAAGGATATTTTTTTGAGAAATGGTTGTTCTTGCTCCTGCTGTTAATCATCAGTTAACAAAAGTGTAGTGAAAACGGCTTCAAAGCAGAAATCGTTAATATTTTGAAGTTTATTTTCAACGCTACGGTTGCTTGAACGCGTCTTACTGGAATGAGTCATGTATTTCAATCCGGACGATGCCACGCAGAGTTACAAATTATAATTGTAACTTTGCATATAATTTAAAACTAAATGGATGAAAATTATGCTCTGAGTTCAGAAATGCAGTTATTAGTTGATTACTCGAATTTTTCTTTCAACGTATCGTTGTTAACAGAGGTGTTAACGACGTATCCTTTTTCATAGCAAGTTCACCGATGTTTTTTTTGTTCCAATGCAGGTGGCAAACATTTAGACAGCTTGGTCTTGAATGCCTTAAGGCAAGCGCTGCACAGACGTTACTCACTTTGCATTACTCAGGGGGCGCGTGTAACTTGAAGATACGGACGCTGAGTAACAAAGCCTCCGCAACGCTCTACGATCCTATTAGGACCGGGACCTACGGTTTAAAGTGGATTCCGAACCACTGCAAACATCCATGGTACCGCCAGGACTCGAACCCGAAAACCTGGGGTACCGAGCGCCAGAGCGCTAGCCACTCATTCAAGGTCCAGTTCACCGATGTTAACAGAAAAATAAATTATTTATCATTCCGCTTGACATTCCTTTGATTTTTCATTTATTTCATAAAAAATAAATTTCAGATGGATAAATAAATTTCTGTGGCTGCCTGGTGGATAGCGCATATTGGTACACGGGTTCGATCCACTTGTATTTCTGGGATCTATACAGAAAAAAATCAGCAGGACAGAATGTCCGTTATTCTCTGGGAAGGAGAGTAACATGAAAACTTTTCAAATGCCAAACTTCAAGAGCTCGTTCAAAATTATGGTGGCAAAATGCAACTGCAGTGTATCAGTGTCTCTCGTGGTGCATTCTACGTAACGTTGGATCTGCTGCAAGTCTACCATACTAGTGGGGAATTCCCACAGATAAAAGTAACCCAGCAATAAATTGCATTTATTAAGCAAAGTACAACAATATGTATGTACCTCCAATATTTCATCATTTGCTTGGTACTTGTTTTGAAAAACAAATTTGCACGTTTATATTTTTGCCTTTATACAAACTCACAGTTTTCAATCGTAACAGTTTCATAAGACCTTAATTTACTTTAAAGATTTCCCTTTAATTTCCTCCCTGAAATCCTTCAATTGAATGAGTTTTTTCGGATGCTTTTTTGATGAGCGACTTTCATGGACCCTCATGCCCCGAGACCAATGATATTTTTTAATTTACCAATATTTCATTCATTGATATTTCAATAGATCGCTCAATAGATCGCACTAAACTATAAACAACAGAAAAAGTATGTGGAGTTCCATGTGGCCGAGTGGCTCTCGGTACCACAGGTTTCGGGTTCGAGTCCCGGCGGTGCCATGGTTGTTTGTAGTAGTTCGAATCCATTTTAAAAAGTAGGTCCCGGTCTAATAGGAACGTAGAGCGTTACGGGGGCATTGTTACTCCGCGTCCGTAGCTTATCTTCAAGTGACACGCGCCCCTGGGTAATGCAAAGTGAGTAACGTCTGTGCAGCGCTTGCCTTAAGGCATCCAAGACCAAGCTGTCTGTGTTTGCCAGCTGCGTTAGAAAGAAAAAAATTTTTTTGGTACAAATACAGGAAAAAAGAGAACATTCAAACTAAGAAGTATTGTAACAAAAAATAAAAATTTAATTTCTAAATAAAAATAATAATAATAAATAAATTATAAATTAAAATTCAATCTTCTTCTTTTCACTTTTTCCAGCTTGATTGATTGCATCGTTGTACTTCAATAAAAAGCAAAATCCAGGAATCTTCCTGATTTTTTGCTTTGTTGAATTATCGTTTATTGATTGTTTATCGCGTTTGTCGATTGTCAATCGACAAATACAATAAAACAAAAATAAACAATATTAAAAACAAAATACAATTGACTCAGATAAGCGAGTCATCGAAATGCTAAGCATTTAACAAAAACAATCGGACTTTAGTGAGAAGTAAGCATAAATTTGAACATGTGTTGTTGTTTCTTATCCCACTTGGCTGGCTAAGCCCACGTGCCCATACGTACTCATAATTGAAGGGGAAGGAAGCAGCTTCTGTTGTGGAAGGAGCACCCGTAGGTAGAAGTCTGACTTTGGCTCCGTGACGCTCTTACAGTCATAGGAGACCGGGACCTACAGCTTAAAGTGGATTCCGAACCACTACAAACATTCATGACACCGCCGAGACTCGAACCCGAAACCTGTGGTACCGAGCGCCAGCCACTCGACCATTCAGGCCCTCTATTTAATAGTGGTGATTATAATTATAAAATTCAGAAACATTTATTTAATAACCCTAAACTAAAATGTCGTGCTCGACCTCAGACCTTCATCATCATTTAATATGCCATTTCGATCGACGATCATCGACGTTCATCATCATTTAATATGCCATTTTGATCAACAATCATCGATGTTCATCATCATTTTATATGCCATTCATCACGACTGATCACCACCCTAAAACCACAATCGATCCATCTAAATAAGATGCAGTCGATTGGGTCCTCAGCTAAACAACGTCCATAAATAAATCACAGTGATGTAATATTCCCATCACAGTACATCAGTTATATCACATGGATATAATATTCCCATCCCAGTACTTCTGTTATAGCAGGGTGATATAAAATTCCCATCAAAGTACACCTGTTATATCAGTGATATAAT